GTCTGTGCAAGTGACAGATTTACCTGCTTGGAGACACAATGCACTGAGCCGAAAGAATGAAACGCACTGATGAAGTACGCACGATATGCACCAGCAGATAATTTGTAGAGCAACTGAGAGTAGGCGAATTGCTTCACAAGGCTGCCCTCGCCCGCGTGTGTGCGAGGTGCAAACATCTCGAACATAATGTTAGAACAATAATGCTGCTAACTAATATTATTCTACTAATTTCGAATAACTTGAATGGCTGCTAAAGTCCGTTCATTGCTAGCAAAAAAACATAAGTATTATCGATTGTGCTGAGAGGAGTATTTGGCGAATTTCATCTGCGACCACTAACTGCATGATATGAAGAGGGCAGTGCAAAGGGACACGGAGTGCTTCAATTAGTGCATTCATGCGTTTTCTGTATTCACTTCGAAGAAGCACATCATTATCCTAGGCTCAAGCAGTTCCTGTATCAATTTGACAATCTCTGCATCCGCAGAAATAGACATACTTATCGTGCAAATACCTATTACGTAATACTATTGCGCTAAATAAAAAAAAAGAATTTCTTTAAGGTACCTCAATACCATAATGAAAAATCATTAAAAATTAACGTTTATAATAATACATACGTACGATAAAATAATCGATTTAAAGTTTTACTCGAACTAAACAATCCAATAATTATAGTAAGCGAATGAAGCGCTTTCCGAAAACTGTGAAAGCGATGTCAATATGCCGTGCAGCAGTGATTTTGTTAAGAGGAGGGATGCCAAAGAAGACACATGCATAAACTACTTACAATGAAAAATATACAAATTAGATTAAAAGCGTCGACATGCGACGGGTACGATAGAAAAATATATCGGTTTGCCCTCACACAGGTTCCGCTACTGCATATTATGAAATCACACCGTGCTCGAGCTCCTCAGCCCAAGTCCAGACACGTCCTGTCCCTTGCTATCCACCCACCACCCGTGATGCGTTTTAGTTATAGTTGTAGAGCCTTTTGTGGTTGAAGGAGACACCTGTAGATTGCAGTTTGTGTAAAGAGATACTCTTCGGTTGTATAGATCCATTACAAAACGTTTCCTCTTCTGGTCGGAGGAGCCCAGTAGATATTCGTACTGACGATTAACACTTGAGACGAGGAGAGGCAATTCCTCATCAGAGCGATTTAGATCGAGAACGTGTGATCAGAAACGTGTGCCATTTAAACCGCAAAGTAAATTTCTTCAGTGCTATCAATTTAAAAAAATATTTGAGACTATTATTATCCCTCAAAAACCCAAGAAACTATTTTATTTGGTAATTACACTCAGAGGAAGGGAATAGGTGCGGACGACTTCCGACGTTTTATCCCCCTGAGGCAGTGCCGCTTTCGTGCAGGGCGTTTACCGACTGCATCCCGCAATCAACTTTTCCCAAGCCATTTAGTTACCTCCCGAAAAAGACATAGTCCGACTGCATCCCATTTTCCTCCTAAGGTTAAGGATTGATTTATACCTTTCCAGCGGTTTGCTTAGTATTATATTGATCGATTATAATCGATCCAATTCTGTTTTCAAGAAATGTTTGCATGTCCTTTTAGAGCACTGTCAACGTTGACAACCATACCTTAAAGATGTGTAGAAATAAAACTTGAAACCTCCTATCACGATCATCTTCTTACCTCGCTTGCACAATTCCAGTAAATCTGCAATATTCATCTTTGTTCGAGTTTTTATCTCAACTGACGCGAGATCTATTTGCGCTTCTTAAGGATGGAAGCAAAAATGTTTACTCCTACACCGGATGAACGAAATGGGATGCAGTCGGGCCATGTCTTCTCAGGTCGCAAAAAATGAAAGGGGATAACCTGGAATACAGGGGTGAGGGATAACTGAATGCGTGATGCAGTCGGATTGCGCCTTCTCAAGTGACGAGGCAAGCAATTAGCTGGGAAGCGAGGGCGAGGAAAACTGCGCGGGATGCAGTCGGACTATGCATTCTAAGGTTACGAAAAGTGGAATGCGATGAACTGGGAAGTGAGAAAGCCGGAAAACTGTTCCCGGGATGCTGTTGGGCTATGCTTTCTCAGGTAGTGAAAAATGCAAAGGGATTATATGGAAAGCAGGGTGAGGGAAAACTGACCCGTGGATGCTGTTGGACGATTCCCCAGTCGGGCTCTGTCTTCTCAGGTATCATAAAGCGAAGGGGGATTACCTGGGAAGCGGAGAGGAGCGTAAACGTAACCCGGGCTGCAGTCGGGCGATTCCCGTTGTGCAGTGGAGCGAGGCCATCCACGCGCACGGAGAATCGCGAAGCGGCTTCGTTAAGCGCCTCCCGACAGATTTATGCGCCCAATCGCGCGTCTATCTACATCCAATTGACTGGCGCAGTGCGTCTCGCCTCGATCGCTCGCCGCGGAAATTCCCCAAATGCCTCTCCGCCTCGCAACGGCTGGCGGCGGCGTTGCGCTGTTTAAATTGGAGTAAGTCGGCAACAGGGAAATTAATGCGACCTTCCTCCGCGGTGAATGACGATTGCTGTCGAGATCGATGTCTAAATACTTTGGAAATTGCGCTATAAAATAGTAGTAAATCTGTTTATACAATGTCTCGTAATGTTAGATTGCGAAAAATTACAAGTACGGCAACGGAAGGGCTCACTTCCGTCTGAGTGACTGTTCTCACTGAGTGACTGCGCTAGTACGCAGCAGGATTCTAAAGCCCACATCAACGTTTCACATCGTCTAAATCATAAGAGAGTACATGTGCTTAACAAGCATGACTCATTGTTCTAATTCTTATCGTATTGATCTATTCTAATTTTAATCTCTCAATTGTTATTACCTTTTGTAATTAAAACTATTGCACTTTAATTTTTGGAGCGGAATTCTAAGTGAAAAGACAGTGTTGCAACAAATTGGTACAGAGGTTCTCATAATATTTGTAATGGTTGCGCAAAATTATAATAACCAACTTCATAAGAAAATTTGATCTTATTTGCAGCAAATTTGGCCAACAATTGCACGTAAAAGACCTGAATCTAACTGATGAATAACGTTCAACGAACGTTTTGCCTGTAAAGTCTTGTTTAAAGCTAAAGATTTAAATTCTTCATCATGCATATTCATAAAAATGAATATTTTAATAACATTTCTCAAATAACATACAAAATGTTTTAGAACAAAAACATTATTTGACAAACATGAAGACAATTTTTCAACTAACATAACAATCCCTTTCCCGTCAATGTAGCATGTTTATTTTTATTTTCTGTTTGAAAATAATTCATACTTGTTTTACGCCTTGATAAAGTATGAAACCAAAACTCGGCAAACTGTTTCAAATTCGAGGGGTCGCGACGTTATCCTGATCGATCCGGGAATATTATTTTTGGTTAAAAAACCTGTGTACGGTTTAAGCCAGCGTTGTTGACACACGGACTGTCGGACAATAACGAATTGATGAAAATAACTTTTTCGGTATAAAGTCACATAAAGTCGGGTCATAAAAATATTTTTTTTACAAAATGCAGCAATTTTTTCTGAAGCAAATAATTTCTTTGTACTGCTTGGTAGTCAGTGAGAAAGTAAAAATTTCAATTAATTATAGCATACGACTTGTGTTATTTATTTACGAAACAAGTGAGATAAAAGTAATTAGCAGTTTATGAATTTTTATCTCCCAACAATAAAAAACTTATTATTATTATTATTAATAAATGTGTTAAAACACATATTTTTGTAGATCAAGAAACCCACATGCAAGTATACCACAACATTATTCATTTATTTCCTGATATCACAATCACAAATAAAACCATAATATAATTCACCCCATGTTGAATTTAGATCTTTTCCTCTTGAGGAGCCAGAGTTCCACTGACTTCCAACTTGGGAAGCGAGGGAGAACCCAATCAGCACGGGCGATTGCCGTTGGCTCTTTCGGTCTGGGCGTCCCGATGGCTGCCACCAGCCGTCGCTCCCTCTCGTGCGCTGGCCTCCGCCTCCGCCTCCGCCTCGGCCTCGGCCTCGGCCGCCGCTGTTCACATGCCGTGCCGGTGCATGTCCGGCAGCACGGCATTCCCCTAATCGCGCGGGGACATGCGCTTCGAATGACGTCCAATCGAAGCCCTGCGATAGACACGTTACGTCCAGTCAACACGTAAATCAGTTCGCTCTGCCGAGAATATGCATAATTGAAAGAGCTGCTTAATGCGGAACAGCGCCTCTCCGGGTAAATAGATCAAAGCAGTAGCGCGCGGACACAGAATGGCGAACGGGATGCACCGAAAAGGCCCCAAAAGGAAGAGATCGACGTCGTGTGACTCAGAATAATCGTGGAGAAAGGAATAAAGACGTACAAGGAGAGAGAGAGAGAGAGAGAGAGAGAGAGAGAGAGAGAGGGAGAGAGAGAGAGATAGAGAGAAGGAGGGAAAGATATTCGAACCAAAACAGGCGTAGAAATAGAGGCGGCCGTAATAAAGGCGATGGAACGAAGGAGGAAAAAAAACAAAAACAACAACAACCGAGACGCGAGTACGCCGGTAGGCTTGGAAAATGAGGCATTGAAAGAGAAGTGTATCGGTCATGGCTTTCAGAGTGTTCACTCACTGAACATCGAAATAAAACTACGGCGTAGGAAGGAAGCGGGAGCTCAGGATGGAAGACTCGGCGGATCCCACGGCAGATTGGGGCTTACAGCCCCCAAGAGACAAACCGAATGATAAAAAGGCGAAATTCACGTGGGCTGAGCGCTTTGAGAAGGCAGATGACGCATGGGAGAGTGAAAATGCTTCGCGAAAAAGCGTCCAGTGATGAGCGCCGTAAATGAATCAGCAGAAGAACTATTGGCCGAGAGAAGGTGGAACGAGAAGCAATGCAAGAGAAAACGAACGATAGAAACAGTCGGAGAGACGGCGGGGGCGGTGGGTGGAAGGTGGAAGGGGGCGGGGGAAGCAGCATATGCAGTGCAGGCGGGCGACCGACGACGGGCCCCCGAGCAGCCAAAGTCTACCGGATCACACAAGGACTGCTATTGTTGCTTTGTTGGCCGCGAAGCGCTGCGTCACTCCTTTGTTTTGACAATAGCGCTGCCGGCCGGCGACTTTGGGAAGCTGAGTCGAGTCGAGTCGGAGACGGCGGCGGCCGGCGCATTTTTCCTCGTAAAGCGCGACGGTCGCTCGGCTGTCGCTTTGAGAGGGTTCGGTGGCTGGCGACGCCGCCGCGACGCGCCTGCGACCCCCGAGGACGCCCGGGAGAAGCTTCGGGGTTCAATGGAACTCACGGACGAACATCTTCCCTCCTACGAGGCTTTTTCTTCAGTAAGCTTACCTCTCAATTACTATTCATCTCAATAAGTAATAAGCAGGGCTCGGATTCTGATGAACTAAAAATTCTTTGAGAGTGACCTAGAAAATTGCTTTAAAAATTAGAGGAAAATAAGTTCAGAATAGGGGAAAATGATCTAATTAAAAAATGTATGAAAATGTTTAATTGTTGAGTGAATTTTTTATAATTTTAAATAACATTTATTCATATAAAACTATATTAAAAACAGTCTTCATTTTAGGAGGAACCGTTAGCTCTAATCTTCCAACCGTCAGTTTTGAAAGGTCGAGGAAATTACCGATGATCCGTGTAATTTTGAGAAAACAAGAGTCCACTGAAATAGTGTATTTTGTCATGAACTGATTATGCAATAAAAACTTTTTTTAGTGAGTCATTCATGAAACATTCACTGTCACAACAACATGAAAATTAATCAAAATATGTCAAAATAAGAAAAATGACCTAAAATTGAAAAATGGCAAAAAATGACCCAATAACAACACATTTCTATCACTTGTATGTCGTGAAAAACTTTTACTTACAAGTTAGCGAGTCTAAAATGCACTAGTAACAAAATGACCTATCATCAGAATCCGAGCCCTGTTAATGAATGAGTGCCCTTATATTGAGATTTTAATAAGACTATAATAAGAATTTTTGGATTATAGTTAATTAATAAACTAGTTATGTTCTTGTGAATAGTGAATTTACCAATTCGTTATCGAGATAATTTTGTTTTCTATTTTCTGTTGCAAATATTTGATGAACTTCAGTCGGTCATTATATAGATTTGGAAGTCTGAAGCAGTATTGTGAGACCTCATATTTCGCAAAGATCCAGTCACTTTCGATTAATATAGAACGACTGCCCTTCGTTTTCTGAGCTTCCAATCAATCTACTTATATCTATTAAAAGCACCGTGAAGGCAATAACATTAATGGCCAGAAACACGTGAAGCCATAAACGAAGTAGCAAGGGAGATATTGCGAACCTTGACCACCTGCGCGGGCCAAGTTCCTTTTCCTCGATGAATTTATTTCTTGCTCGTCCCTCTGTGCTCCAAAGCGCTCGATGATAAAGTTGTTTGATCGCGTTGAAGCTCCGCCTGTCGCGCTTCACTTGTCCGCCAGTTGCGAGCTTCATGCACGAAGCGGCGACGACAGCCCCGGGCGACGCGCTCGCCGCCATTGTTAACCAGCGCCCTGTAAACGAGATCTTTTACCTGGTTGTCGCTCAGCCGGCGTCATAATTTGTGAGAAGCCGCTGCACCTTCAGACATTGTACTGCTGAGGGGAGAAAAAAATCTAATGAGAGGTATGTGCCTGCACGCTGAATTTGAAAATTTAAATGCAGACACGAATTGAGCTGGAAGGTAAGCATAAAATTTCTCGCTTTCACTTCTCTCATTTGTGCTTTTTATCCAAAATTTTTACGTAATTTATAACGTATAGTTCAATTACTTTCTTCCCAGTGACTATTTGTATTTATATTTATTTATGTACTTTTTGTTTACCTTTGTTTGCTATTATTTCATGTTTTCTTATACTTCTTTTGTGGAAAGTGTATGGAAGCATATACGTAGCATACAGAGAATTACGAAAGAATGCAAAAACATCGTTGTGATGGTTTGGATCTAAATACTAGTTTTGAAGGTCCATGATACCGAAAACGTGGTTTTAAACATTTGTCATTCATTCTGAGTGTCATATTTTAGAAGCCCGAACTTAGGGAAGAATTTAAGCTTTAGTGAACTAGTATAATAGTTATTTAGGATAAGACTGGTAAAAGTGAGACTTTATTTTGCGAGTAGGACAGGTAGCGACTCGAGGTCGATAGACCGAGTTGCACAATCCTACGACAAAATTGAACCACTTTTTGCACTTGTCATACACTATATTTTAGACAGCCTTACTAGCTTTCATTTTAAGTATACAAATCACTTAATAAATCATGAAGCTCCGGAGTAGCTTTTGCAGTCAGATGAACGAATTTTGTTTTCTTTTTTCATTCACAAATGTATCTGAACCCTTGGGCATCGGCTCACTTTTGAGCACTCTACGCATGCCCAGACAGAACCACTTTTACTAGTGTCCGTTTCTAACTATTTTTTCTGTTTATGTCTGTTTAAAATACATTTGTTTGTTTAAAAACTATTTTTAAAACAAATCGATAATATGTTCAGTGAGTAGAAGGTCAATTTTATCGTCAGCAATTTCTGTACGTGTTCATTGCAATAAATAGCCTTAGCACATGGCAGCGCAAGCAAGTAGGAGCGGTCGTTAGAATGCAATTTCCTTTCGGCGGCCCGGCGCGGAGGGCGGGCGCCGCGCGTCCTGCCAGTCACCCGTCGCCGCCGCGTGGCGTCGCTCGCGTCGCGGGGCCTTTGTGCGGCGCGGGTCGGAGGCGGGCCGCGGCGCACGTGCGTGCCACTTAGCGCTCTGGGAAGCTCTGCGCCGTTCCGCACTCTGTCTCCTCGCGATTTCCTTTAAATCTCTTGCAGGATGTGTGCTGACGTAATAAATATCAGTCGCAAATGTTACATGTAGTTACTGATGTCTTCAACGTTCTTCTAAGCATGGGGTAAGGAAAACAGGGTTTGAAAATAAGTCCAGACTTTGGAATTTGCCGACACTGGTATTTTGTAGCATGTCGCTCCTTAATCTTCAGTCTAGGTCGCAATGTTGCATATCCACGTAGCAAACCCTGGAAGCCCAAAGACCAATTCAAACGATCATAATTCCTAAAAAACTGTCAATTGAACTAAAATTGAAACGACTTTCAACCTCGTTTAACTTAGCCCAATGTATTTCTGTTCTTCCTTTACTTCGTAACATAAATTACTGCTTATGAATGGAGATTCCGAAAAAGTTACAACTTAGTATTTTGTAATTAACCTCCTAGATGGACAAAGTTTGTCAAAGAAATAAATTAAAAATATAACGTGTCAAAATTTTAAAAGTATTTCCTACAATTGTTTTAGAGATAATGTACATTATACTCTTAATATGTCCTTGCATCTCTGGAGATAATTTTGAGATTTGTTTGCATCGCATCCTCTCCTGTTAGCTGGCATGAATATGTCGAACTCTGAAATCTCGACCTTGTAGTTCAGTGTTAAACCATTCTTCTCAGAACATTGAAGTCAAAAGATTGTCCTTCTTGAGAGGGACTAATTTGCAACCTTCATCATTAATTAATCATCTTATATTCTGTGCGTAGCTTGAAATCGATTGCTCTGTTTCCATTCGTTTATTAATAATTGTATTATTCCATTTCTTTATTACTAACATTTATCACTAGAGTATTGATTTTTATGTAATTACATATCTTTTGTATTTCTGGGTTCAGTTCAAAATTCTGACCTTGGCGAATCAGAACAATCGTTACACATTATAGAAATTTTCGTTAGATATTTTTACATATTTTGTACAATACTACTTAATTTGAAAAATGTTTTATTATACCACTTTTATTGTATTTTCTTTCCCATAAAACATTTAAAACATGTACAAAAAGTGTTATTAAAAATATCGTTTTTTATTTCTTATTCAGAATTGCGTGCTGAAGACGCGTGCGAGGTGCCCCATGAGAAAAATTAGTCAACTGACTGCATACGTTGTGACATGTGCGCCTGAGCGCCGAGAATTTTATCTTTAAAAGTAGAAAGTGTTAGTGACATCGTACTTCGTGATCTTTAATCCAAATTTGCCATAGATATTGGTTGTAACAGACGTGTAGCACCATGAAGACAATCTTAACCTAATTGTTTGACGGACATCAAAGTCCCGCGTTTGTATGATGGCTATCATTGCTCTTAAATAAAAATTTTGCTGTTGGAAACTTTAATCCAGTAGTGCAAACAATATTTATTTTGAATATTTCATTAATGTAATGTGTGTATAAATTTATATGTATAAATTTATTTTGTAAATATTCTAAAAATTAGAGCGTATTTTGATATAACTTTCTACATCCCCTTTTATATATTTGTTATGTATCATTGTAATTTATTTTACATATTTTTCTGTTTCTTTCTGCATGCTGTTTCCGGGCATTATTGATCTCAGTTGACCGCAAGTCAGTGCTGTAATGGTTTAAGCTTTTGTGAGGTCACGCAACCCCTTGCCTGCCACATCTGACGCACCCCCCCTCTTCCCGGCACTACCTCACCGTCCAACCCGGGCCCCCTCCCCCTCCACGCGCTGTCTCGCTCGAGATGTTCAGCTCTGTGCAAACGTTGGATTCGGCGACTGTTTACGGACGCCCGGCTGATGATTTTTGAGAAGCGCACAGATATTGAGAATATCGAATAGTGTTTGAATAGCTCTTGTCATCGAGCGCTTCGGCTACCGCACGCTGCTGTTGTGATCGATGTATTGATTTCAGCCACGGACCTCCAAGGCGGATTCGCTTGAATGCATATCGTTCTTTGCTTTCGAGGAGGAGGAAAAACGAGGCATAGTTGAGACAACACTCTTCAAAGCTCAGTGTCTTTCGAGAGACGGCTTCCAGTGTTTTCACGTGGGTTAATCTGAAGCTTTTAGTAATACTCATATTTGTGTTCTCCTTCATCAAGGTGTATTTGTATTGCTAGTGAACCTCAACGACTTCGTTTCCGTCGCTTTGAATGTGCTTCCAAACAGTTTTCTTTAATATTACTTCTTCACAAATACACTTATTATTTGAATCTTTGGCTTAAAACAGAAATTAAGTGCTGAACCTACGTTTTTAAAGTTCTGCCGATACGTAAGTGAATCATATTGGGTTCTTGTTTCACTCAAAAAAAGGAGGTCTCATTTCCAGCATAAAAGATCCAATTGCTAAGCACATACCATCTTCCAAAAAACTAGTCTGTACAATATCCCTCATATAATTATAGAAATGAAATGAGAAATATAAAATAGAGTATAGTGAACAAGATCTCACTTGAGTTATGGATGTAATAAAATACGCCACAAAATGACTGTCATTGTGCGAAGAAAAAGGAGCTTAA